CCCCCCCCCCCCCCCCAGCCTGTGGCGGGCGTATATCGCTGGTGGTATCTCCTCTTCCCTTCCTTCTGTCTGTCTGTCTCTCCGTCCTCTCACTGGTGCTCGGGAGGGGAGCCGAAGGGCAGCGGGTCTCTCATTCCCTCTGTCCTCGGAAACCGGGATTGCAAACTCTCTCCCCGCCTACTTCCCAAAACCTCAGTGAGGCAGGAACAGTCCAACACTCAACAGAATTAATCTATCGCTGGTGGTATCTCCTCTTCCCTTCCTTCTGTCTGTCTGTCTCTCCGTCCTCTCACTGGTGCTCGGGAGGGGAGCCGAAGGGCAGCGGGTCTCTCATTCCCTCTGTCCTCGGAAACCGGGATTGCAAACTCTCTCCCCGCCTACTTCCCAAAACCTCAGTGAGGCAGGAACAGTCCAACACTCAACAGAATTAATCTTTCAATAGTTTTCTGCTAATCATGCAGATTTTTCAAGGAAAGCGCAGGGACGGTATCACAACTAACTTCTATGTGTTGTCAGTACTGCTAGGATCTGTGCATTCATCCTAGGGATGAGAAATGTCTATTTACATTTTCTTGGATCAATGTGCCCCGAAGCGCTGACATGCCACTATCATTGTAATCTGTCATCCCCATTATCTCCGGCATTCTAGCCACCTCTAAAAATGCGAATATTAAGGGAAGGTTTCCAATGCAGACAGGTGACAGCCGATCTAGTTTCATTAGTTACATAATAAAAATTGCAAAACTTGCTGTAACTGTCAGAAGTATAGCACCAAAGTAATGGCTTAACAGATAAGAATAATCTTTCATCTTGGCAGATGGTTCATGTGCCAAGTTTCAGCCTGGTGAGGTAAAAAAACCCAAGAGAAATGCAAATGCAAACCTTTGAAAATCTGAGCTAATAATGGAAATGTCAAGTGACCCTTAATACCAGCAGGAACAGTGCACTCCACAGTAATATCCTAAATAACTTTTATGAATCGGGACCCACAGTGTTTTACTGTTTGTTGGTGATTACATTTGGAGTAAGTTAATAATAAAATGGATGGATTTATGTTACTTGTAAAGGCGGATTGGTGGGCAAGTTGTGCGCATGTATTCTAAATCTGGTGTGTTTGCAGAATGATTCCTTTATCTTATCATACAAAAATTTCCTGGTATCTTAATTCAGATTTCATTTTCTGATGGCTTCAGGGATTTTATTTTCATTATGCTGTCTGCTTGGTCAGTGTTTTATACTCAAGGTTTAGAGAAAGAGAGACAGAGGCCTAATCCAACAGGAAGTCATTGATCCTATTGACCCATTTCCTTTTTCCAACTATTTATTAAATAGGCTATAACTCCTTGATTTTGATTAGTGGGGGTAAAAAAACTCTCAGAGTGCACTTAGAGAAGATTACTTACTCAGCTCTGTTTTGTACCTTGGTCCAGTAGCTGTTTCATTGCAAAATTTTGGCATTTGCTCAGGATTTTTTTTTCTTTTGGCTGTTAATTTAGAACCCATTTGCTGAAAACGAGGAATTGCAGCAAAGGTCTGTGAGAATTTTGGGAATCAACACCTGGGATCTTGCCTTAGAACTAACAAACTTTGACTGGAGCCTCTTCAATGCAATTCATGAGGTAAGAAGCACCACGTCTGCTTCCAGGTGTATTACTCTTATGCATCATTGAGCTGTTATGGTTTCCTGATGTTGCAACCAGCATTTTGGATCATCGGTATTCCTTGGTGCTCAGTTCACCATCATGACAATATGATTTGGCAGCTCTCAATAGCAGTGGCATTGAGTCAGGTCCAAAAGATGTGTTGCAATCTTTGATACTGAAAAAAAAAAAATATTAAAGGTTTGTAACTTCCCTTTGCTAGGGCATCTCGTATGTTCCCTGCATACCTGGTGGGTTTTTTTGAGGTTTGCCTCAAGAGGGTAAAAGAGCACATTTATTCTCTAAAAGCTGTGTGAATATGTTATATATGCAGATTGTCCTTTGCACTTGATAATGGTCCAGTAAATGCAGGACTCCACAAATAGGTGTCCTTGATATCACATTAACCACAACAGAATTCACAATTTCAGCAGTTTAGATGGTCACATTACTGTTCTTGTTAGGCTTCAGTGAGATAAAAAATATTGGGCAGGCTTTATAAAATGGGATAATGGCCCACTTCAGTGCCATTGGGTTGTTCAATGACTTTGACAGGTTCTGGTGTGAGCTGCTGAGTAAAGTACACAGTTAACGGTACAAAATGTCACTTGAAAATATCATTCACTGTAAAGCATGATGAATTCCTGAGAAAATGAATGGGAAATTCTATTGCTTCTCATCAGATGCTTTCCTTGATCTTTCACCTCAGGTTCATTTATTCAGGTTAGACACTTGAAATCCAGAGCTGGTCAAGTTGGTTCTATTTTGTTTTGGTTTGGTTTTTTCACAGAAATCAATACCCACACTTCTGTTCCTGAAAACTTGGCTATTTTTAGGAAGAAGTTTGAATGGAAATTTTTCAGATTCTGCAATGGTCTGATATGGTTGCTTTTTCATTCTGGAATAGAAGTGATGAAATACAGAAAGAGACAGATTGTTTATGTCTTATACCTGGCTGTAGGCAGAAGTGGAACTGCAGGAAATCTCACAAGAAAAGCGCATCTTGCAGGACTTCCTGTCCAACTGCCTACTGTAATGAGCCTCTAGGCTTTGCTAAGACAAACTTGGACCCTGTATCATCTGTGATTGGCTCATGGATAATGAAAAAACAACCATCTGTAACCAAGTCTTGTTTCAAAAACATACTTCTAAGTAATTTATAATTCATTTGCATTTAAATTGTTTTTATATCCCTAATAATGTTGTCAATGTCTTCCAGCAAGAGCTGATATACTTCACGTTCAGCAGACAGGGCAGTGCTGAAAACACTGAGAATCTCAGCCTTCTGCTTCAAAGGTGCAATGAGGTCCAGCTTTGGGTTGCCACCGAGATACTCCTCTGCAGCCAGCTCTGCAAACGTGTACAGCTCGTCAAAAAGTTCATCAAGATTGCTGCCCAGTAAGTTACTAAAGTTACAAAAAACCCCCCTTGAATTCACATGCTTTATTTGGTGGGAAAGGAGAAGTAGGTGGAAGAGTAAAGAAAGAAAACTAATTTGTCATCCCATGTTTTAACAGTGTAGTGAGCATACCTAGATAATAAACCAGTCCATAAATAACTACAGCAAACACTGGCCAAAACTAGATGGAGTATACGCTGCTGAAATCTTCCCCAGCGGCTTAGCTGCTGTGTCTGCAGCATCAACTGCAAAATCCCTGCAGAGATATCTCCTTCCTTAGCAGAGATAACTGGAGGACCATATTACAAAACTATTTGAGCAGCAGCAGGGTTATTCACCAAAGACTACACGGACACCAAAAAACTCTGTTACAATCTTGAAAATGCTACCTCTAGAGGGGAAACTGGCTGCAGTAAGCTGTTGCCCCGTGTTGTCCTCTCTGCAGTACTCGTTTATTTATTGGAGGGGGGGTGTTCTTCATTAATTAGATCTGATGGTTTATTCTTGTGGCATTACTAAATAGTGCTGGCATTTATTCTATGCCTTGGAACAGACTACAAGTATATACTATACACAGAGAGTTCTTTTCTCTGTAATCACTCTTATTTTAGTAGCCAAGGGAATGAAGCAATTTAAATATGTGCTACCGTTCTCCTCGCCTCTCTCTCCACTTGTTGGTCTTCTGCAATATTTGAATATGCACGTTCATGGAAAATAATTTGTTCCCTTCATTGACTGAGTTGATCTAATTTGCAAGGCACTTACATTGAAAGGGCTGTTCTTTGCTGAAGCAGTGCCTTGGGTGAAATGAATTCTTCTAATCTAATCTAGTGTAACTCATAAATGTGATTTGATTTAGTTTGCAAGTTGTATAGTATCCAGTAATATGTTCGTTTTCTGCCTTATCAATGGCCAAGTTTGGTCCAATTATGTCAAAAATGGTTGGTTTTGTGTTGCCTTGTTTGCACCACAGTAGCATTAATTTGCATTCCAAGAAAAGTTTCATGTCTGTCCCACATGAATAGGGATATATTTGTCACCAGGCTAAAATGTTGCTCTATTTGATTTAATTCCATCTCTGTTAAGTGAAAAGCCAAAGTTGTGAAGACTAAATACAGTTGTCAGTAAACAATAGACAGGCTCTCCGACTGTGTTGCAGCAGCACACATCATCGTAGCATGTAGATTGTGAAGTAATGGGTACACAAATAAGTGAGTTTGTAGTTTGCTCGGGATCTTTTTTTTAATGAAAAAGGCAGCTTTCTAAAAGCAGCCATTGTCATATCTCATCAATTCTGGAAGAGTTGATGAAAGAGGAGGAATTAGGATGGAGGGATGGTGTGCTAAGCACAGGACTCTCATCGTGAGACACAAACCAAGCAGCCCTGCTATTTTGTTTATGACTAAGGCAGGGAGGTAGTGTCCTGGTTTCGGCTTAAACCACAACAGGTAGGGAGCCGTGAGCAGCTCTGGCTGCTCCCTGTTCTCTGCTCCCAGATTCAGCCAGGAATCTGTGTCTCTGACTTTCAGCTTGTCAGGAAAGCACCAGGACTAAGATCTTACGTTCAACGTTTGTGCGCTTCGCTGTTGAGGAACACCTGAAGAAGATGGAAGGCTTTTACGGAGTGTGCCAAGACATAAAGGAGAGACAGAGTTTTTGAAACGTGGATACCTACGTTAATGAGCTAGTCTAAAATAGAAAACAAGTGATTTGATAGAGAAAATGAATTAGCATGATGTTAGAAATGAACATCCCAAAGAGATATAGAAACAGGTCAACATAGGGTTAGAATAAATGGATTACAACAGCAGCCTTCTTGCTTCCCAAGTGGTGGCTGCCTGTAAAAGATGAACCTTCTCTCTACAGTTCCTTGTGAGAAATGGGCCCATCCAACAGACAATTTCTCTGAGCTATGCTGGACACCTTTCTTGTTTTGGAATGAATTACCTTTGGCAGCTGCCTAACTTTAATGATAAAAGGAGTCTAAGCAACAAAGTTAGGATTAACTTTAAGACAGCTGAAGTGAAGTGAGAAATATACTGTCTCAAGATAGTACACAGCGATGAGTATAAGCTTTATAAAACTTATAACAAGTGCTGGCATGTTTCCAGTCTAAGGCCTTGGCACATACTTTTCACTGATGATAAATCCCAGTGAAGGCAGTGGATTCATTTGTACTTAAAATTATCTCAAAAGAGGATTCTCTCTCTCTCGCATACACGCACACGTATGTTTATAGTGGTCTTCAAGAATCTGCAAGAGGAAGTGGAATCTTTTTGTTTGAAAAGGACTCGGTATTTCAGGATTTCAAATTTCCTAATGGACTAGAAATAAGCAGGGTCTGATCATATATAGTAAAATGTCAAAGGGTAGAGGTATCAAGCAAATTCCATAGGGACCTGTATTGGAACCAGTGCTAACTGCAACTAATGTATAGAGCTATGTAAATTGAACATTAATCAGATTTTCAGACAATAAAAATGATGAGGGATTGCAAATGCATTGGAGGATAGGAAAAAAAAAAAAAAGAATGATCTAAGGAGTGTGGTGGCATGTGCAAACAACAGTAGGATAAGATTTAATTTAGATAGATGCAAAGTAATTCAGCTAGGGAATGCTAATACTGAGCTGAAGAAATGAATGCATGATTGTAAAGAACAGTACTGTGACAAAGGTCCTTGGGTGATAATAGATGACAAATTAAAGGCAAGGACAAAGTGTGATGCTGTTCCAAATAAATAATTTGATATTTGTTTTATACTTGCATAGGAGAAAGGTGTAAGAACTTGGAGCCAAAACAGTAATTATGTTTCTCCTTCCCTCCCCACGGTCTCACTACATCTCCTTGATAAGAAGGAAATGCGTGAGAGAAGAGTTAAAATAAATTACAAAGAACTCAATGAAAAATAATAACACTATGGAAAAATAGATTGCAGGCCATGACCACAAAGCGAAATTGAAGGAATCAATGATGTACAATTTACAGAAAAGATGAAAAAGGAGATGAAAATATTTATAATAAACAGACTAGAGGTTGAGGAATTTTTCTGTATGGTAAAGGACAGCTGAGAGTAACCTGAACATTGAAAAGGGAAAATTACTTTTGACAGCAAAGGAAAAAAAAATAACCTGCCAACAACAGGGTTGATGAGACAGTGGAACATTTGCTAAAAAAATTCTTAGAGACCCCATCACCTAGACTGCAGGTGGTCATGAGAGGACATTTAATGAGTTCATTACGTGGAAGATGACTGTATGTTAGTGCTGAGGGTTGAAATGGGACTCAGTAACCTAGGATACCTGCGCATTCCATTTATCTCTGATTCAAGTACAAAAAATCAGAATACAGCGTTCATATTTTTATTCCACAGCTGTAAAGCCCAAAGAAATCTGAATTCATTCTTTGCTATTGTTATGGGTCTCAACACTGCATCTGTCAGCCGGCTGTCTCAGACCTGGGAGGTAAGACATATTTGTATCTTTTAGACCCTGTCAAAACCGTTTCTCACAAAGGTTGTATACTGGTGAATTACCTTTTCTTTCTAATTACTGGGTTTTCATGCTGAAATCAAACAGGTAGCGAGTGTTGGTAGAGAAACTTTTCTGTGACCTGAAACCTTAGATACACAGCTATTTAAATAGAACTAATTGTGTCTTTCCAAAGCTTTTAAATAAGAACAAAGCAAGGAGATCTTACCCTTTAAAAAAAAAACCAAAAAAACTCAGGTAAATTATCCTAGCATTTTGAGTAGATATCAGAACAGAGTTGTATAAAGGTGGCTCCAAACAAGCAATACCTTACTATGGCATAATTGAATTTTTAAAGAAAAAAAAAAAAACGAAGTAGAAATAAACCCTCTTTAGTTCTCCTTTATCAGCTCTTCCAAAGCTGCTCATCTTGAACAACTAAGTTAGGAAATGGGCCATGAATGAGGAGCATACTGGAGAACAGAGATTATCTGCTAAAGAAGCTACTGGTTGCTAGACAGAGCATGGGATATTTAGAGGAGGGTCCCAGTGGGACCTGTACAGATTGTGGAATTTTTTTTTCCCATCCAAGTAAATTACTGGGTGGTAGTATCTGCAAGCTTACTATATCTGCTGATGAACCAAAAATTGGGGAAGGAGTGATTTAGTGTGATGGGGTGAAGCTTCATACCTCCCCTATGCCCCACCGCCATAAGCGGGCAATACTCAAAAAATGTCAACCTCTAATGCAAAGTGACAGAGAATGGCTGTGGTCTCCTCCCTTGGAGATCTTCTTGAGCATCAACAGCTGAAACCAAATGTCCATCAGAGACTTCCAGACCTATCTGATACTGTCCAGAGCAAAGTCTTCCCCCTTAGCTGAAATCACGCATATGGAAACTTCACTGCCATTATCAGTGGCTTCTGCAGGCAGAGAAACAAGGGCAGTGACTGCTTCTGGGGGGGACAGATTTACAGGGACTTGGATAGGCAAGGAGGAGCTATCTTTAAATAACAGGTAAAGCAAAATTGTAGAGAAAAATACATACCTGAGGATTACAATACAGAAACTCTTTGTCTCTCCTGCTTTTAAAATGCTTTGCTCACTAGGGAACATTTGCCCTTGCCTGGTCTTATGGGTTCATAGAATCATAGAATCCTAGGTTGGAAGGGACCTCAAGGATCATCTAGTCCAACCCTACTAGGTAAGAGCCCAGTCTAGACAAGATGGCCCAGCACCCTGTCCAGCGGAGTCTTAAAAGTATCCAATGTGGTGGAGTCAACCACTTCCTTGGGGAGATTATTCCAATCGTTGACTGTTCTCACTCTGAAAAATTTCCCTCTCGTGTCCAATCGGAATCTCCCCAAGAGCAACTTGTGTCCATTCCCCCTTGTCCTCTCCATGTGACTCCTTGTGAAAAGGGAGTCTCCATCTTCCTTGTAGCTACCCCTTAGGTACTGGTACGTGGTGATGAGATCCCCTCTAAGCCTCCTTTTCTCAAGGCTGAACAAACCCAGTTCTTTCAGCCTGTCCTCATACAGCAGGCTTCCCAGTCCTTTGATCATCTTGGTGGCCCTTCTCTGGACCCTCTCCAGCCTGTCCACATCTTTTTTGTATAGCGGAGGCCAGAATTGTACACAGTATTCCAGGTATGGCCTGACAAGCGGTGACCTCTGACAATGGTTGCCTTCATCTCATTTCTCCGGGCTTTGGTAGCAGAGTGGAGGGGGCTGAGTATTGTATCAAAAGCACCCGGTGGCATCAGCATAGATCTCTCCCACAGAGAAGCACATGGCACTCAGCTGTGTGATGAGACCTCTGGAGATCATGCATTGCTAGTGGACTTCTCTCAGGAAGAGCAGAATATATTGCTTGTCGGAACAAGGAGTGCATCTGCATATGCATCACTGTAAACATATCCTGTTTCTGTGTGTAAAATATTTATGAAGTCACACGTTTGGTTTTTTTATTTCTAAAACTTTACTGCACTGGAAATTTGAAAAGCAGGAGGTTATTTGCATTAGTAATGTGACTTCTAGAAAGTAGAGCAATGTTTATAAATTAATTATAATTACTTACACATGTAAATGAAGCCACCTAAATTTAAGCAACCATTTAGACACTAGATTATATTGGCTCTGCACTTGAATTCTTAAATAAGCAGTATGCGCCCGAGCATATTCTTCTGCTTTTTTCTACAGTATGCGGTGTTTTAATGAGCCTAACTTTCCCTGATTGAAGATATTAAAAATCTGCAATTGCAATTCCATGTTCAGTTATTTTAGCATTTTAATCATACAGCACATCCACTTAATCGTAATTGTTCTAAATTTCTTTTCTCTTGGTAGTGTCATTGTGGCTGTCAGGGTCTAAGGACAAAGGCAAGATGGGATTTGTACTAAGCGGGGATATCTTTTACGGGACTAACTAGTATGGGTGGAAAAAACAGACAGGCTTTAAGGTCCACACACCATTCCTCAAGTCTGAAACACCAGCAGCAAAATTCAAACTGAGGAGCGATTGCTTTGAGTGTAATGAGCTGAATCCATTAAAGCGTCTTAGAGATAGAAGGAAGCGGATGCTTGTGGAGCAGAGCAGGGGCAAGAAGGTTGTTCATGCCTGGGCTCCTTTGGAAGGGGTTTTGTGTACTTCCCGGTGGGATTAGGTCAAGATACCAGAGGCAGAGTGATCTTTTTTTAAGGAAAGTTCTCATTCTCTGGCACCAGCATGTGCAAGTAGCAACACCCGTCAGCCCCGAGGGCCGTGTATCAAACAGCATTGAGCATTATGCCTGTTAATATCTATAACATGTATTTTAGGGCAAGATTGATTACCACAAATTATTTAACATGGATGTGATCACAGTATCTGAATTCTCAGGCTGTGTTACTGCTTATAACTTGATACAGATGTAAAGGTAAGTGCGGCAGACATGGAAGCTAGGGAAGAAAATAAAACCAGCTGCTAACAAGCAGTTTCCATAAAAGAAGGATGAGGGTCCCCGGGGCGAGGCTGCAGGATCTGGTGCCTTGCTGGCATCGCACCGACTGTGCTCTGTAATCAGGGTTCTTGGAGCTGAGGAGCGGAGGTTAACTGGCTGAGAAAGTGGCCTGGTGGTACTTATAGCAGGCGTTTCACACGCGGCAGTCTGATGGAAAAAAAATGCCTGAGCAGTTTTCTGCCTATGTGGTTTGTTGGGTTTTTTTTTAAATCAGCTTTACTTTTTTTTCTCTGTTTTCCCCATTTCAGAAAATTCCTGGGAAGTTCAAGAAACTTTTCACTGAACTTGAAAGTTTGACAGTAAGTACGGTGTTGACAGCAGAATGGCATTGCCTGCCTTTACCTGCCTTCCTTCTTCCTAATTTATGTGGGGGCTGCCTGTCATTGTCTGGAGCTGGAGCTGGAACTTGTCATGTCACATCCGTGATTTGCCGAAGGCCCCGCAGCCCTCCTGAGCTCAGAGGTGGTCTCCAAACACAACGAGGAAAAAGGCTGTATTCCTGACAGCTGGAGGAAAGGCAGGGAGAGGAGAATGTACTGTCAGTTCCCCAGCATCAATTTGGAAGCTGTTCTTTTGCTGTGGTGGTTAATCAGCCTTTATCCAAAGCAACATGCTGCGGATCAGGAGAACCAGGAGGACAGCTCAAGTTTTAAATATAAAAAAAAAAAAAAAAAAAAAAAATCAGAAGGTCGAGGCTAAGGGCCTTTGTCAGCATTATCAAAGCTGAATAAACAAGTGTTTCCTCTGACTGTCATGGAAGTGGGTGCACGGTGAGATCACTGCCTGGCGCAGGGGACATGAGATCCAGCCTTTAACGACTGTCACGCTTCTCTACTTATGGCCCTTTATAAATTAACGTGTTTTCAAGATTGTGTGTGAGCTGGTGTACAAAAACGTTTGTTTATATGGGAAATTGAGTTGACGTTTTGAATTACTCACAGAACACCACTGAAACATACTCTCTTATTTTCTTTAAAAACGTCCAACATGCTCCATGCCGTTTTTGTTGGGGGTTTTTTGTTGTTTGGTTTGTGTGTTTTGTTGTTTGTTTTTGTTTTGGTTTTTTTTAAGAATAAATTAATCAGCAGTACATTCTGGAACACGTTTTGTGCTAGATAGTAAGCTGAAGAGAATTTGCTAATAGAAATTTGTGGGGAAATTACAGAGCAGTCCCAGTGAATCTGTTCTGCAGCTTACTCCCGTTTGAGCACTGCTTCATCTAGAGGAACGTAATTGCTTTTGTTCCTTTCACTGTTTACGTTTCCTCTTCAGTTTAGTAAGTCACCTAGCTTGGAAAACCTTTATCTACCTCATTTTCTGAAGAAACCTTTTGTATCTAAATCATGTTCAGATCATAAGCCTGTAATGCATTTAGAATTGCTCTTTTTATAGCCTATTGATTTTTCTCTTTATTACCCAAATGGTTTTGTAGGACCCTTCCCTGAATCACAAAGCTTACAGAGATGCATTCAAGAAAATGAAATCTCCGAAAATCCCCTTCATGCCCTTACTTCTGAAAGGTAATGTTAAAGCTTGGCTGCTGCTCTTCGTTGTGGTTAATTAAAATAAGTGTAAGGTGATTTTTCCTTCAGGTGGCCTTCTGATAAGTATGTGGCAGATGTAGTGGTATCTACAAGATAGCACTTGGTCTGGATAATAATAAATGGCTGCCTTTTAAGACAGGGGGAAGATGGCGATTTTCACACAGGGTTTTGAACATTAGTACCTTCCCATCAGGTGCTGGTGGAGCGGTGTGCCATTGCTTTGGGCACGTCCTCCTGGGTGGGGAAGCGAGACCTTGCGAGCCCCCACATGGGGCTGCCCGGCCGCGCTGCTCGCCCTGCCTCGCCGGGGTGAAACTACCCGGGGCCATCCTGAAGGCAGGACCTGCCCCATCTGCCTGTCTTGAGAGGAGGGGATTGTTGAGTCTCTTACAAGTCTGAAAGAGATAAAAGAAATCTTATTATTAAAAAAAAATATAATAATAATTTAAAAACATTAAAAAATAAAATAACCCAATTGCTTAATGCAGTGAGCTTGGCCACTAATTAAGTGGCAGGTATTTCAAATACTCCGTTGACTTGGAGTCATTAATTCTTAATTTCCTTGTCTTTGAACACGGCAAATTCATTTGATTATTCCCGTATTTCGAAAGTGTTCTCTTTAGGCTGTTTATTCCAACCTGCTGCCGCTGCTGCTATGAGTTTAAAATGTTTGAAGACAGTTCTCCAGATCAGTCGCTGACAGTTTGGGAGCCATCAGGCACTTCCCCTCTTTGCACACATCAAAGGACTTTACATTAATTCAGATGGATACAATTATCAAGGCTTCAAAATCAATATTTTTTAAGTATTCTCGAGTATGTCTTGCCTGCAAACAAAGGCAGCAAACATAAGCAAGTAACTCGTGCTGTGCAAACATCATTGCTGCTACAATACGGTGCATAAGAACATGCGTGTAAGCAGCATTCATGTCTCTAAAATGTATTGGAGATAGCAAGGAGACTTTGCAAAATAATACAGTAATTTTCTTCAGTACAATGATCCATAAGGAGATGTTGCCAAGGTTGGTAATTCCCAACGCATTGCACGGTCCATAGGACTTTATTCCATGTCAAGCGTGTTTGTATTAACGTTATTTCCAAGACCAATAAAATAATCATCGATAGCATAGAAATCACCAGTAACTCAACCAATTACTGTATTTCACACAAGAGGCACAAAAGTAGTTTCAAGAAAAACTGGAAGTCGTTAATAACCTTTCTTTAATTATGAAAAATAACTTTAGAGTGTCCTTTTAAAGTTAATTAAATTTAAATGTGGAGTTCTCTTACAGCACACAGACACAGCTTTTGAAAATGAGGCAGATTTTTCAAATATGTAATAAAATACTGTGATGTACCCTTACAACGTAGCTCAGATGCAATTTTCTGCTCCACTGAGTTTATCTAGACTCTTAGTCGTTGGCTGCAAAGCAAATTTCTGTTCCTTCCACTTCGGAGATATACACATTGCTGTCATTGACTTAAAAAGCTCTGTGGAAATTTCGGCTTCCAGTGTAAGTTTTTCATGGGAAGTGATGGACCTTTTTTAACTGCATTGATACACAGACACATGATGCCTGTGTCCTGAAGCCATGGCCTTTCCCTGTCCCTTTCCCTGGGTGCCCCAAAGCAGCACAGCAGAGGAGGTGTAGAGGGTCCTGCTCCCTCCTTTTCCCCATAATTTTTAGGATGCTGCCTAGGGGCAGAGCGGTGCTGGAGGCATCCTCAGTGTATGCCATGCTTGTTCCGCTTGCTCAGGAGTGCTGGTGGCCAGGCTGGCATCCTGCGCAGCCAGGCTGGCCTCCTGAGCTCTCCATCACCCCTCGTAGAATGTTTTCATAGAATCATAGAATTATTTGGGTTGGAAGGGACCCCTAGAGGTCAGCTAGTCCAACCCCCCTGCAGTGAGCAGGGACACCGCTAACTAGATCAGGTTGCTCAGAGCCCCGTCCAACCTGGTCTTGCATGTTTCCAGGGATGGGGCCTCCACTACCTCTCTGGGCAACCCGTTCCAGTGTTTCACCACCCTCATTGTAAAGAATTTATTCCTTATATCCAGTCTAAATCCACCCTGGTTTAGTTTAAAACCATTATCCCTTGTCCTGTCACAGCTGGCCCTACTAAAAAGATTGTCTCCATCTTTCCTGTAGGCCCCCTTTAAGCACTGAAAGGCCGCAGTCAGGTCTCCCCACAGCCTTCTCTTCTCCAGGCTGAACAAGCCCAACTCTCTCAGCCTGTCCTGCCTAGTTTCCACCAGGCATGAAGCCGTTAACATTTCCATTCTAAGCAATTACAAAATGCCCCTTGGGCACAGAGCGAGTCTGAAACAAAAGGAAATAAATCAGGTTGGCTGGTTTGGGGGAGGATGAAGGGGAGCGGGGTGTGACGAAGCAGCCCCTGGTGTCAGCTGCAGGTTCCTAGCCCTAAAATCCCCCGAAAGAGAGATGAGCACAGGAGAAATGCTGAATGCACAGTTAGACTGGTGGGTTGGAGATTGGCACCTCTGCTGAGAGGGAGATTTTTCCAGCCTTCTGTGTGCCACTTGCCTGCTGGCAGATGCTGCTGTGACTTTTCAGAAGCAATGATATCGGAGAGCTGTCCCCTCACAGTAGTGCCGTCCCCTCCTGGTGCTGCTGTGTACCCACACGCCCAGGAGCGAGCTGACAGGGGCCATGGCGGTGGCTGCCCTGACGGTATTTTCAGTGACCCAGAGACAGTGACTATCGGAGGCAGAGCTTCAGTCCCCACTGGGAATCTGTCTGTGTCCTTGGTACTTCATGACCAAGATGGGTCTCACTTTGTATCCTCATATGCTTTAGAAAAATGGAGAAAATGACCTCAAGTTACTGTTTTAATTGTAATCTTCACTTAGCAACATGTCTTTTGCCTGGTGCTACCCTCTCTCCAGCTCATTACACTGTGTTCAGTTCCCTTCCTGGAGCCAAATATAGACCTTTTCCTCTGAGTGACCTTTTGTTGCCTTTACAAATTCCCTCCAACAACACTGTGTAAAAGTGTTTTCCCCTTGCCATAATGCTTATTTCAAGGCTTTGAACTTCAGTTTGGTGGCTTGTGTTTAATCTCCCTGGCTGGCCACTGCTGTAACCTGCGTCTCTGCGGGGGATTTTGGACTCGTTGTGTGCCACAGAGAGAGACGAAGGGGTGTCAGAGTCTGGTAGCTCTGCCCCCGTGGAGCTCTGGGCTCAGGGACCAGCCAGCCCCAGCCTGGGCACAGCCACGGGCAGCGTGGCCGGCTCGATGCCTCAGGGTGGGGACAGCAGCCGTGCCATGCAGAGCCACCCCTATGGATGCACCCCCGAAGTAGCACAGACCAGGTTTAATAAGAAATCTGTGCTCCCGCTTGAAAATCCTCTCATTATGATGTGTAACATAGTGTTGCTATCTGATAATCTCTGCATGTCATCCTTGTACCAGGCTTTTGCTCCACTGTTACAAGGTATTGTGTCAATCCTTAATGGGATGCTTTCCTCTTTTTTTGGTTTTTTTTTTTTTTTTGTTGCTGTTTAGTCACTTTATGTCTTTGTATTAAGTAACAAAGCCATGAAAAATAATTCTTTTTCCTTTGTTTTTTTCAGATGTAACATTCATCCATGAAGGAAATAAAACTTTTCTGGATAACCTTGTTAATTTTGAAAAGCTGGTAAGCTAATTTTGTCCTTCCTGTTTTTCAAAGAGATTCACATTCTCTTCTTCCCTTTCCCCTCCTTATCTTATGAGACTAAAAGATTTCTTCTGGATGGGTCAGGGAGAAGTAAACAGAGGTAAAAAAAGATCAAACAATAAAAGAGCCAACAATTTATGTCCCCTGCCCCTGTCCATTGCTATTCTCTCTTCTCACTCCTTCCTCCCCTACTTCTGTGCAAAATGGCTAAGCCACTGATGGCCAGCATCACTGCCACACAGGCCACTTATTTTTTTTTTTTCCCAGTGAGACCTGTTCCCTTGCACCACCTCGTGGCCTATTTCTCCTCAGTTAAATTCTTCTGCTTCAGCTTTCTCTGAATTATGTCTCTTTTTTTTCCTCAAGGCACTAAAGAAAAAGTTTCTCTAGTTCATCACTTGCCACTGGTATGCTAATTCCAGGGATTTTAAGTGAAAGGAAAAGTTTTGGTCTAGGTTAGATGATGAAGAAAATAATGCCTGAAATATGAATTAAACAGACTGTAAATACCACTCTGCTAACTTTGTGTAGAAGGGCAGTTACTGACATTGTATCTTTGACCATATCTACTGTAGACCTTATATGACATCTACTCTGGCATGATATTGCTGGTAGGGTTTGATTTCTCCAATTTGCATTACTTCATTTTTTTTGTCAATAACATTTTCGTAGCGCCAAAAGCCACAGTTTATATATCTGAACAGTAGCGGAGTGGAGAAACTTCAATTTATTTTTTTTTTGTTGGCCTGGAGTATTTGATCAAGAAACCAAAATGTTCTTCCTGATGTGCCATGGGATTGTTCGTCCAGATGGCTGTGCCTGGTGAATTGTTCCCAACTATTTTCTTCATGTGTTTACACTTGTTTGAGAAGGAACATGCAAACATGGAGTTATTCATGAACCAGCTGTTGAACTTATTTTCACATCCTATCATAACGTACCTTGTCTTTCAACTCGCAAGCAGATGTAGACTTGGACTTGTGAACCTTAGGGCCTCTTTTTGTGTTTCTGTTTGATTTCTGTACCTTTCCTTGTTGCAGAGTTTACAGGAACACCGATTTGCATTTAATGAAAGGTTTCCTTGTCCCGAGTCCATTAACTGTTTGACCTTTAGGTGTTTGCATAAAACTCATTAGCATGTTCTTCTTCATTGCCTCCTGGAAGTACATCCAATTAACATGTAAATTAAACTAGCTCTTGATGCACAATAATTGTTACTAAAATTCCCCCACTGGCCCATATATATTTTAGTAAATTTGTAGGATCTGATTCATGCTCCAGTCTTTATCCAGGCCTTGTTAGTTTGTTTGTTTGTTGTTTAATCATGTATATGTTTAGTGTATGCTGGGCTTGCTTGGTAAGATTTCCTATCCTTGCTGTCACCATGGTGTCTCCAGAGGCAGTGGGAGCTTTGTTAATTGGCTTCAGCGAGCCAGGATTTCGCCTTTTCCATGCAAATGGATAATGGGCGTTTTAAATGGGAGGGGAGAGTCTGAGGTGGTGGTGTCCGGGTGAGGGTTGTTCAAGCTGACACTTCCCCCAAATTATTAGTCAGATCATGCCCTCAGGAACGTGTGCTGTCTCCTGGAGCCCTGTGTACATACGAATGCAGGCAATAGTGCAAGCTTAGGAAGTGGGGGCTTAGGAGATATTTAAATACGAGTGTAGTGGAAACTGGGGCAGTACACGTATTGCACAGTTTTCATTTGGATGCTAAGGTGTTTAGTCATGAACTTATGAACAAGATGCATCACACATCATCAATATATCAGTTCGTGTTTCTTTTCTAATTGTAAGGGCTTTATCCCAAGGAAGGATGTCTTCCTTGGTGTTTTATACTGTGCTGAACACTTGCTGGCCCCTGCTGAGAAAAATTAGGATTGACATTGACTCCTGCTTGGTTTGGATCAAGCCACTGCACCTCACCTGCAAATTTGCTGTTGCAGAAAAAGAAAAGAATTACTCTACCATAGCAGATTACTGCTTTGGGGAAGGAACTTATTCACTGTCAAAAATGCATAGAATTTCTACTTATGAATTTCAAAGCAAAGATAGCTTCTCCTTCTCCATTTGGATCAATATTTTGTTCTGCATTAAACACCTGACCTGAAGGAGGATTCGTCAGCCTGAACCCTTGTTTTTTTCCAGCTATATCAGTTGGTTTAATAAAAGATACTATCTCTCCCTACAATCCCTGCTTCTTTCATATTCTTAGACCACCATGACCACACCAATCTTACCGTGACTGAACTTGATTTGACATGACACGATTGCAGTGAAGACAAAGTTAATTCAAAATATAAAGAAGAGAATTTGCAAAGAGAAGAAAATGAAATTATCTTTTGTCTCGGGAATGTTGCCCAGTTTTAGCAAAGTTTCAGGGATTGCAGTGGTTTAACTCCGTGTTTGGTAAACTCTAATCTAGAATAGTATTTGATCAATATTTAGTACCATACTCATTTTCTCAACTAAATCTGAAGGAATAAATGAAAATATGGTCTTATACTGTTGCATCTCGAGGTATTTCCATGGTCTTTACTGAGCTGCTTCACTGAAATGTGGCTTCTTCAGGTTTTTTTCTCCAGTCAGCCATCACCCATATCTTAGCAATGACATGTCTTAGCTACACTCCAGCAAACTCTAAAACGGGTCAATGGCCATTACCATTTTAGATAACGCCTTCTAACCTAGGGCCTTCAGCTGTAAGGACTGTGCATGTGCAGGTGAAGGTTCTCAACCCCCACCTGCCAAATATCTGTGCAACTCCCATGCCTGAGTTAAAGGAGTGCTAATGATCCTAGGTAGCCTGTAGGCTGAAAGGCCACAAGAAATGTGTGTTACTCATCCAAGCACCTGTTTAAACAGCCAGGAAATGGCATTTGCTTTGCAGATGAATTGGCTGGTTTTCTGTATTACAATTGGATGCAAGAGAATTGCAGATGGACAGAGAGAAATGCCTAATTAGGTTACTAAAGAAGGGAGATTTGGAATTCTGCTTTAAGGGCGTGTTACAGAGAAAGGTTCTTCCCTCAGCGGGGCATCACCTTCTGATGCCAGTCTCGGGAGGGACCCCCACACTGACTGCAAAGGAGAAACAGCAACGAATGACAGTGCGTGTGCTAATGGGGTCTCTCTTCTAAAAGCCGGATTCAAAGGGTATCAGCCAGAGAACATCACAGCAGCAGCACTGGTGGAAGTTGTAGCTCTCCCCATACTGGCTCTATTGACATGAAATCTAGGATCTCTTATTAGAACTTCATTATAATCAGTGCAAGGACATCAGCACAAGAGATTGCATGATTTCATAGCAAACGAAGCATGTCAGATAACAAGAATATGAAGTTTCCATTAAACTTGCTGTTTTTCTTGTGATAAGCTTTTCTGTGGAGGAGCCTTGTAAGCCACTCTCTGGGTATTGAGAGATGAGCTGCTCTACCTCATTCTGGTCTTAAACATATTTCGGTCAAGATGGTTAATCCTTTCCGACTCTGATTATTTAAGAGGGAGAGGTGACAAGAACATCAGCCATTTGCATGAGTTATTATATCATTGCTGCCAACCATAACTTGCTTGAATTAGTTACTAGATTTGGTGAGGAGTTGCCAAATTCAGTATGTTTTCACCTCTGTACCACAGAAGCAGTCAAATAAAGGAAAAAAGTAATGCCTCAACAACTTTGTGGGCGACATCTAGTGAAAATGAGCGCACTCCACTGATTTATCGTGAACAATTCCAGTTTTCATAAGTTGAAGACCTGCGCCTGAATGAGAAACCAAGCTTAAACCTTTTATTTCCTCTGCTTAATCTAAGTAAACATCTAATATCCCTGTTAGCACCAGTTTTTCTTAAAATAGTATAGCTACAGTATAGTCTTATTTGGTGTGTGTCTGTGGAGACATCAGGGTGCTTGCTCTGCAGAATTTGGGCTGTGGGCTGTTATTTTTGTGTTGGTTACCATACTGCAGAAAACTGCCTAGCGGATACTGGTGCCTGCTTGTGCCAGGCGTTATACAAGTAGATGTTAAGGTGCAGTCTGGGCTACAAAGGGGCTCAGAGTCTAATTAGACAACACATGGAGACAGAAGGAGAGGTTGCAGACTACCGAATGCACTAAAGCTAGGGGTTGGACCCGGAAGCACCTACCCAGTCCACAAGGCTTCCCCGCTGTAGGCTTTCAGGTTAGTAAAAGTCACAGGAACAAAAATAAGTAATTGTTTGGCTATTTTTCATTACCACTTTCCATGGGCTCTTAGGGAGTTGTTCTCATTTAATCTGTGTGATATCAATAAGGACCTTCTAGACTAACCCTGTTTCATCATATATTATCACTAAGACAAAGAGCAAAGTCTTTCTCCCGCTGTCTTCCTTTTCTACCTCACTACAGTTGCTTTTTATTGTGTAGTGTAGGGCGAGGAGATTTTTTCAGGCTTTCCTAATGACAGAATCCATCTCAGATTTTTGCACTGATGTTTTATATCTTGTCTTTGCAGCACATGATTGCAGATACTGTTCGGTCATTGAGACATTGCAGAAATAACCAGTTTGGTGAGTAGCCAAAATTTGCTACTTATTTTGCCTTTGTACAGCCTGGAGGTTTTTTTTTTTCTGCTTTCCTTCCACTTGCTCAGGTTTACTACAGCAGCAAAACATGGTCAACAATTATTTAACCAATTGGCAAGAGGCGGTGTCATTGCTGGTTGGTCAACATAGCAGAAACCACAGTTGGATGAAGTTTAATTTTACAAAATGTTTGTAGAAACAGCTTCCACTTACAGATTATTTTCCTGAAAAAAATTATCACCTCTTCAAAATACTGTGTAAGATCTGTGCCAGCTGCACTTAATGATGGAGGCTTCTGACATATGCTGCTGTTTCTCACTTTCCCAGCTATAACCAAGTTACCTCAATCTCCTGTTATTTTATGTGTTTTGGTAATGGGTTCACAGCTGTCTTGGCTTTCAGGAGCTAAAGAATGATATTTATCACCACAGCTTTTCACTTGGCTTTTAACTGGGAGCAATTGTTTCCTTAGTTTGGATTCTTCAGGACATTTCACGAAAGGCTTGAAGTCTTGAAGATGCTAAGATCCTGTGGGTTTCATGAAAGTTGTTGACTACGTAGAGAAGAGGGGGTTGTGTTAGTACCTCTGCTAGGGGAAGACGGCAAATAGTGCAACTAGAGCTCTGCCTGGGTTAGACACTGGAGGATCTACGCCGCTGGGAACAGTTACGAGTACCTCAGCTGTATGTATGAAAGGTGGTTTTTTTGTGTGTGTTTCCACCTTATTAGCCACCAGAGAATCCAACCCTAAGGGGCCATGCCAAGATGACCCCAGCTTGCTTTGTTGTGCTGCTCACAGAGGAGAAACCTTGTTTTTCTCCTTCTCAGCATTTCTCATTCTCTGCAAAGAGGTTAAACACAGGAAGGGGACAAACACAACACTACTTTAGGAAGTGGTTAGTTTTTATGCCAAATACACTAAACATGTCATTTACTGAGGCCACTAAAGCCTCTTGTCCAAAGAAGAGTTCAGAACTGTGCCATAGCCTTGGGGAAAAAGGGCTTGAATTGTTTCTTTTTTCCAGCTGAATTTTCAGCAGCTGTCAGCATGGACTCCGACAAAAAGAAAAATAATAATGATTTTGTGTATAAATGCGTGTACCTTGGAGAATGATAGGTACTGCTGAGAGTTTGGCTGAACATTTGTTCTATAGAATTACCTTGTATATGCACAGTCTTTTTTTTTAAACAAAGGCTGCTTACTATTATGGTTCTTGGTTTATGGTGATACATATCTACAAGAGAGAGAGAGGGAGAAGGGCGTGCTTTTTTTTTTTTTATTCTGTTAAACCAGATGCTAAAGGAAATATTGATTAATCCAAACCATGCCTCCATAAGTTAGAATGTCTCTTATTTGGCGTAATAAAATGTAGCATTGCTTCCTTTTAATGATGTGAAATTTTTTGTGCAGCTTCTCTGCAAATCTTTCATCTCGTTTTTGCCTTTTTTTTTTCCCCAAGTGGTTTTGTAAGTGTTGCAACATAAATCCAAGGTTAATACCTGAGATTTATTATATAATCTGGTAGTTTGAAGTACGTGATTGTTATTTTATTTTACCACAGGCTTGATTTATTGTGAAGCTGGCATTTTAAAAGCAACGTATACAGACATCCCTGTAGGCACTTTTTTTTCCCCTTAAATTCGTTTAGGCATGAAATGAATTCACTGAATATTTATTGAGACTTTATGGACAGTTTCCTTTTCTAGTGGGCTTATTTTGCTCTCAGGAATGTGAATCTTTCTACTGCATCAGCTCCCAGATTGGCCTAAGAGCAGCAGGCGTCTGACTGTAGGAAAGAATTCAAACAAAACTAAGCAAGGAATATTATCATTGTTTATGAACTGTATCATATGTATTAAGCTTGCAGGCCAAAGTCTTTCTGGATTAGAAACTGGTTAGGTTCCAGGCAAGACTAAAGTGCCTTTTTAATGGAATTAATACTTTTATATACTAAATCCTGAAAACAAATACTAGCATTTCCAAACCCGGGCAAAGCAGCCTGAACAAATAACATAATTCAAGCTTTTGCCATTTCAGGTGTTAATGAGAAATACAAATGTTTTTTCAGTACTTTCAGCACAGCTGCTGGGATCCTATTCCCGCAGAAAGGAAAGGTCATCTCTGTATCCTGACATAAATTTATCACATTGTCCTGTTCTCTCCCACGTTTCTCAAGTCAGATAGCTGCTCAGAAATAGCTCCTAAAAATAGCTGCCCAGGACTGAGTGGGATGGTGGGTTCCTGGAAAGCCGCTGTGTAGCTGGGGAGCGTGGAGAAAAGGGTGATAAAGAAACAAAGGAGAGGGGAGGGAGTTTGCGAGTTAAGCTGATTGGTTCGGGGAATTTCGAGGGGTTTTCTTTTTTAATTTATGGTAATGTTATTAAGAATTCCTTGAGGACATGGGCTAGAACAGAGCTCTCCAACCTTCCCTCACTTGTCAGCAGTCTGCAATGTGTGGGAAACGTATCTCGGTGCTTTCTCTGCCTGTCCTGATGGGTCTCATGGCCATGGGCTTAGCTTTTCCTTTTCCGCTTCTGCTGGCCACTGGCTGTGCTGGAGGGTTTCGTGGGTGGCGAGTGCCCACAAGCCAACGTTGGGCGTAAAGCTTGTAACAGAAAACATCTGCTGTGCGAGGCACCCTTCAGTCTGGCCGTTACGCAGCTAATTTCTCTCGCTGCATAAACTCCCGTGAGATGACAGCATGACTCTCGTCTCAGTTACTAGGTCAGAAACCAAAAGCATAGCGGAGCAAAGCGTGGGGGCCTGTCAGGGCAGCTTTCACCTGCTCCGAAGGAAAGGATTTGGGGGCCTGCTGTCCTGTGTACTTACATTAGAGTTGTTGAAAATTTACAGGCTGGGTCACCCGCCCCTGCTTAAGGTCCCCTTGTGCTGCCAGAGAGGCACGAAGGAAACCCTGAAGCACCCTCACAGGGGACGACTGCCTGTGCTGCCAGCAGGAGTAAATCTTCCTCTTGGGAAGAGTCAGCTTCTTGCCATCCACTTGTCCCTCCTCTATGCACGCTGGCTGCCCGGGGTTGCCTGCTTCATTCTCTCTTCTCCCCTTTTCTGTATCTAGCTGTTGCCTCTGCATTGCACTTAAACAGCAAATCCTTTGGATCTCTGGCCATCTTTTTTGTGACTGTGTAGCACCTGGCAGGTTGGCACACTAGGGACTTCGTAACGCACAGGACAGAGAAGCAGGCAAGGCATGGCTTTCTCATCCATCCCCTTTCTCCTGTCTTGCAGGCAATGAAGTTCCTTCAAAAGAGCATCATGAGCTGAAGCCATACGTCCATCATCTGCATGTCATCGACAACCAGCAAGCTCTGTTTGAGCTTTCCCACAGGATAGAGCCGCGAGTGTGAGCGTACACAGCTTCATATAACCTTGTAACTGCAGCACTTTGAATTAAGTGAATGTTATGCCAAGCATGTTGCTTCCCTATATAAGAACAGTTTACTGAGTTTTATCAGTAGCTCACACAACATGCGCAGGAAAATCAGGCAAGAGCCAGCAAAGGAGCTGCTCGTGGAGTTGCAGGGCAAGCTTGGTGCGATGTCTGCTGGTCACTGGGACGGGAGGAAGCAGAGCAGCATCCTTTGAGCTCAGGAGCTTGGTTTCTGTGAAAATATTGTTTGGTCCAGTGTAGCTTTCAATGCAGATTCTGCCAGTATTAGAACGAAAGGAAACATCGTGTCACAGCAGCAAAACATTTCAGCAAGCAGTGTGCCGCAAGGGGATTGATTCTCAGTTCACCACAATATGTACGTCACTAATTCAAGGCTGCCAAAGTATCGTTGCCAAAAATACCGTGCAATTCGTGCAGCTCCCCTGAGTCCACTGGAGCATCTTATTTGAGTCAAGTGCAGACAACCAGGAATGGGAATATAAAAGGACAGCGCACCAGATGAAACTCAAGAGCGTGTCGTTCACGCTGTCACGGCCCCGTAAGAATCTGCTTTATAAAACACACTGTAAGAGCCAATCCACTTCTGTTGCAATTTATGGACACAATTGTTTGTTCACTGAAAACATGTTATTTTCTTCCTTTTCATTTATCTCAGATTTAGCACGAGCTCCTGCAGTTAGTGTGTTACAAGTTATTATAGCAGGAGCTTTGTTTTCTGCTTGGATTACAGCCTCCTTGGTGTCTGTTCAGAGGCAATGCCTAGATCCGCCTACATTCCTAACTCACCTCCTGGAAATACTGTTTCAGCAGGTAAAACTTCATCTAACTTGCACATGCTTCTAGTTTTTAAAGAACAAAAGGGTACACCTGAGAGGGTACCAGTGTAATGACCTGCACACACACCGGGCTCTCAGCATTAGGGTTCCTTTACTGCTCCTGTACCTCTTGCACCCCTCCCCTAGCCAATTCTCACGTAGCTAAAAATACTACTTCTGGGCATGTACTGAGGCAGCGTTTCTAAAGTCTCATCTACAGCTGACCGGCATCTAAGCACCACCGTCACCGTAGCTCTGGTTTTCAGTGCTAAGAAGTTGCCCTGAAATGATGTAGTGAATGCTGCAGGCAAGTGCAGCGTGCCACGCAGCCTGGCACGTGTCCGTACAATGACTCCTGGTAATGGTCCCTTTGCAGAGCAGGGAGGACATTGCATTGCTTTCCCATCTCTGTTGTGTGTTTTCCACACGAGGAAGACTTCCAAGAAAATGCTCCTTTACTGAAATGTGGGAATACTGAAGTAGCATGCTCTTCATCATTGTGTTATCTCTGATTTAAAGGGATTAAAAAAAAAAAAAAAGCAGCTTTAACAAGTAGTCTGTGGGGGAATCTGTAGAATGCATTTGGTTTTCCCATCTGTGAAATATTGTATAGATCTATTGTAAAGGAAACAGATGTTTCAGAAATGTATTTGCTTGTACTTTGTTATTATCAAATACTATATGATTTTTTTTTTTTTAGAAAAAAAAATCTTCTTTTTACCCAGTAAAAAGAAAAAAAAAATAAACTCTTGCTGGCCATGGAGTAAAAATTTCCTATGTTCTTCTGTAGATGTGACTGCACATATTGTAAATAACTCTTTTGTGCAAACAGACCAAAACTGTCCAGATGAGGATACTCGCTGCAGTGGGCTCCTTTTTGCGGTGTAAGAACACAAACCAGATACAATTTGCTGCTTGTGTTATTGCAGGTCTTCCTCTGGCAACAGCACTCACCCAATCCCCACCCTAGATGCATTACCGGAGTGGTCTGCTGGTTTTTGAGCTCCCCCTTGTGAAATCTTTGTACTGTGGCACTCATTGCATTGCTTTCCCATCTCTGTTGTGTGTTTTCCACACGAGGAAGACTTCCAAGAAAATGCTCCTTTACTGAAATGTGGGAATACTGAAGTAGCATGCTCTTCATCATTGTGTTATCTCTGATTTAAAGGGATTAAAAAAAAAAAAAAGCAGCTTTAACAAGTAGTCTGTGGGGGAATCTGTAGAATGCATTTGGTTTTCCCATCTGTGAAATATTGTATAGATCTATTGTAAAGGAAACAGATGTTTCAGAAATGTATTTGCTTGTACTTTGTTATTATCAAATACTATATGATTTTTTTTTTTTTAGAAAAAAAAATCTTCTTTTTACCCAGTAAAAAGAAAAAAAAAATAAACTCTTGCTGGCCATGGAGTAAAAATTTCCTATGTTCTTCTGTAGATGTGACTGCACATATTGTAAATAACTCTTTTGTGCAAACAGACCAAAACTGTCCAGATGAGGATACTCGCTGCAGTGGGCTCCTTTTTGCGGTGTAAGAACACAAACCAGATACAATTTGCTGCTTGTGTTATTGCAGGTCTTCCTCTGGCAACAGCACTCACCCAATCCCCACCCTAGATGCATTACCGGAGTGGTCTGCTGGTTTTTGAGCTCCCCCTTGTGAAATCTTTGTACTGTGGCACTATTATTAGGAGCCTGTACGCAGACCAGCCTGCATGCTTTAGCTCATATGGTGTAACACTCTAGGCCACAAGTTGTTCTCCTGAACTCTACGGGGGACGGAGCCTGAGCAGGTATTCAGGGTGAGGTAGTGGGGCCCGTTTCTCACTTCAGTGCTTTTGGCTCTGTTTTGGTAGTTACTGCTGATGAAGCAGCAGCGGTGCCAGAGAAGAATAAAAGACATGGAAATGAAAGAAGGGGGGGGGGAGGGGAAGAAAGAAAAAAAGAAAACAAAAGTAGAAAGATGGTTCTGTGCTCAGGCTTTGATTTGAAATCATGCTTGGAGCCACCTCGAAGGCTTCTCACTCTGCCAGTTCAAACTGGGTTGCAGGAGGTGGATGGGTTAACTCATACCGTGAGGCTTCAAGCCAGCTGAGGTATTGGCTACCTGCACTGCTGTAACGTTATACTAAATCAAGTGTTGTCTACCCCTTGCAGCTGGCCTAAACTCAGTTGGAAGGCACATAGCCAGCATTAACCTTGTTATCTGTGTTGTGGCTAATTAGACTACTGTGTAAAACTTTACAAACTAGTTTTCATAGTGGCCTGTATAATTAGGATATAACTTTCTGGTCTGAGGGGCCACCTTGGATGCATCAATTTCACATTGGAAATGTGGATATTATATCTGTTACCATAGAGGAAAGGCAAATAGTCCAAATCTGTTGCTACTATGTCTAATAAAAAAAGGCCCATCAAGAGTCTTCATTCAACAGGTGAAGCATTGCAGAGCTGGGCTGCAGACTGGCCAGCAGTTCGAAGGTGTGGTGGTTGGGAGGAGAACTAGAAATAAACCCTGTGAAAGAGAGGGGGACACTACACACCCTCTGTCAGGGTTCAGCACGGGTGATACCGTGTGATTTTTAAATCCTGCAATTATGTTACATAGGATAAAATCCATGAATCTTATAAGTTCAGTTCATCAGAATCACACCTGGGGTTAAATACTCTGCCTATTTTCCTTAGTAGCTGGGAGGAGTAATTAGACAGAACAAAGGAAAAAGCTGGGTCACTTTATACCTCTTTGATGTGGGATTTTGTTGCATCAAATTTAGATGCTTCTATGACACATCTTTTTGATTCCAGCCCTGTCTTGGATAGAAATAAATTGCGTTTGCATGACAGTGGCAAAAAAAAAAAAAAAAAGGGGTTTCAGAAAGACGTGCTGCTGTACAATTACAAAGAAAGGTGTAAATACTAAGCATTTTAGCAGAGTAATATTTATTTGCATAGCCTATTTATTGTCATCTTACTACACTATTAAGAAATACTGGGATGAAATCAATGAGCTGAGGTAAGAACACCTGCCTGTTCCATTCTCTCTGAGTGCCATAATGCTGTCAGCTTGCATTCAAAGTAATAAAACAGAAAACCCCAAATCAAGGTATTTACCTAACTTCTCAGGGACTACAGCTAGTAGTTATCCACCATTATGAGACCTGGTATGTATGAAATAATCTGATTTACCAGAATTGATGTTGCCAATGTTTTCCTTTTCATATTTCATGCTTGTCTGCCTCTGTACATATTATTGTGTTGTGTATTTATGAGAGCTAGTAAGCAATAATTTATATGTCAAAATGGCCAAGCAATACAAGGTTAAAACTTGTAGAAGCAACTACTGTTACATTTATCTTGCATTTTCCAGTGTTTTTTAATATTGCTTTACAAAATATAAAAACTACCTTAATGAAGTCTGGGCTCTGTGCCTTCATGCCTATAACACGTACTTATTGTTCCTAACTGGAAGATTTTATGCTCATACTTCCAGTCATTCAGTTCCACGAACCCTCGCTGTCTTTGCGAGGAGGATGGGGACCAGCCTGCGCCTGGTTAGAGGCTCAGGAGCCTGACCCTGTTCAAGGCTGCTCATTCATCTCTGGTCGGTGGGATTTGATGGTACCGATGTATTCCAGGCAGTTTGAGCAGAGATGATGTTAATGGGGTCTCAGCTGTGCCTTATCATCGCGGCGCAGTCTTAAGAGGGGCCTGGAGCCACCATGAGAAGTTCCTGTGGGAGAGGGGAGGAGGAAATCTATCTTCGTATCCTCTGGAGTCTGCTTATCAGCACTTGATCCTCTTACTGAGGACAGCCAATGCTTTCCCCTTTCATCAGGCATCCCTGCCAGCGTGGCTTCCTCTCCCCCCCTCTCGGCTGGTCTGCAGGAGGGAAGGCAGAGCCCACGATGGGCTGCGCATGCACTGTAATGCAGCCGAGGCTTGTCCCGTCCTTCCACCCTTTCCACTTGCAAAGCCTGGGAACCACTAAGCCAAACTGGGGCATTTCACACAGAAATAGCACTTGGAACTTACAGCGTGATGTCTGTTCAAAATGCTTTACAAATAGGCAGTGCTTAATCCTCTAAGTGCCTGCACCTCAAATAGTCTTAAGCCTGACCTACAAAGTGTTTGTGCCAGTGT